ACATACGAGCCCCCTCCCTCTCAAACCAATGAACCAGGTACACCCCCTCCTCCTTTACAACACGTCCTGAAGGCGAGAAAAACAACTACCAAAAATAAATTTTTCCCAGCCCAAATACGACCCCCCTCTCCTGGCGACCAAATACGCACCCCTCCCCCCCTATTGGGGATTCCCCAACAACGATGTGCCCTGATTGCATAAGGTGGAGTCTGGAGAGAAACTGAAAAGTTAAGAACGGCCAACATCTCATTAACATTTTTTGCTCAGATAGTCTTCCTGAATGAAAAACTTGAGTGTTGGCGCTCCGGATGGACTTCGCGACTTTGGAGTGGCCTTCGTAGGTAGCTCCTGATGTCCTCGGAAAGCAACTTTGGAGGGGATGTACATGTGGTTTGCCATGGCTTCGGAAGGAACAGAAAAATGGAGCCTGCTTTTCCGACATTTGGCCGACTTCCAGCTTTCGCTCTTTTTGAGAAATGGGCGATGCAGGAAACATGTTCTACAGCAGGCAGAACGCGACCGCAGTTGTCTCGTTTCCAGCAAAAAAGAGGTTCCTGCGCAACGGTATCGATATGGGTGATGTTCCTGCGCAACGGTATTGACATGGGGGATTTGCCACCTAGTTTTACTGACTGTAATAATTTTGAAAACCGAAATCACGGCTCAGCGTGTCTTTCACAACAGCCGGCAGTGCAATACGGTTCATCACCTCAAGGCGGCAACATTTGCTGCTTGCGAAGCTATAGACGAGACGACGAGAAATCTCATTCAGGGGCATGCCACATAAAATGACCAAACTAGCACAAAATCATATAGGAGCTACCAGACTTTCATCTCAAAGATATTTTTATTTTTTCTTAAGTGTCCACATACCTTTGGTACAAAGAAACTTTTTCCAGTAATAAAAAAATGTGAAGTCGCCCACAAGATGCTGCGAAGTAAAGTACACCCCTTATCCCTGAGACAGAGTAGGCGTGGCATTTGAACACGGCACAGAATGGGTTACTCGTTAGATATTCCAGTTTGGGGCAACTGTCATCTTGTTCTGTGTGGACAAAGTCATGACCATGACGAATGTGTCGTGAATGAAAATACCAAAACCAAAACACCAAAACCACGTTCGATATGTTCATAGGAATTTCTGAGTTTAATTGAGTTTAATATCTTCTGTGTTTTCTTGTTGAATGAAACTCTTCAAGATATTTATTTAGCAACGTTTCGGGCCTTAAGCCCTTCTTCAGGCCTACAATATATACAATATAATATCTACCGATCACACTTAGGCATCACTTCTAGCTAAACTGAACAAGAAACTATTGGCGATACGAAATATGCGACTAACCGAATAGCAAAGCAAGTGGTTTTGGTCCAGGGAACGGGTTCTTCCCGGGAGTCACGTGAATCACTGCAAGTACTATTGGATGGACGCGGGAGGGGGAAGGCATATGGCGAGGTGGACTTCAGACCTATCTAGCTGTCCACTTCTTGCCAGGAAATGGAAGCAGCTAGATCGGTGGTGGGGAGGGTAAGAGTGATGTCGTCTGATATCCTCCAAGTCACCATATGTCACGTGATAGTCATTCATTCACATCCTATAAGTGCCATAACTTGATGAATTCTCCACACTTGTTCGCAGCTCCTCCCTCGTTTGTGTGGATTGAGGCGCCTTTGTCGTATTTCCAATGCCTCTTTTATCTTCCTTTCAAAACCGGGTCGCAAACGTTCTTGTGAAGGACGCGGACCTTTATCTGGGGCGTGCTCTCGTGAGTGTGCCGTAAAGAGCGGGTAGCTGTCCCGAGAGGGTTCTCCGGATAACTGCTGGGATTTCGCGAGAGCCCTTAGATGTTCCAGCCTTTTATAAGAGGGCGTCCGCTTTCTCCTATGTAAAATTCCGAGCATGACGCGCACTCTACTTCATAGACGGTGTTCTTCAAAAGGCATATTTTCCGTTCTTCTTGGCAGTAACAGCAGTTTGCACGGCCACACAGATCTTCATATAGTCGAGAGGATGTGAGCAGACGGCGCAGCGTTGATGGTGGTCGGAATATCAGGCGGACCGGCATCCCAGACCTCTTCACCACTCGGTTAACATCCTTCGCAAAGGACTCAGAGAGGTATGGTATTTAGTACTTGCAGTGATTCACGTGACTCCCGGGAAGAACCCGTTCCCCGGACCAAAACCACTTGCTTTGCTATTCGGTTAGTCGCATATTTCGTATCGCCAATAGTTTCTTGTTCAGTTTAGCTAGAGGTGACGCCTAACTAGGGAGGTCGTTCAGGACGTGGAGCGCTTTTTGAAAACGGTTTTTTGCATCATGTGGGGTTACGTGCATGGAGTACCAAACTGGTGTTCATTTTTCCTGAACGCCTCTGGGAATGCCAAAAATGGAGTGAAAAAGAAGTCCATGGAAACCGACTGTTTTTGAGCCTGAATGGGCTCTAAATCACTCGCAACTTCGGCCAGTTGCTGCCTATAGGGTCCTTATAAAGGTACTGGTATCGATGAGAAAAGTAGTCGCCAATGGGGTCCTACTTGTGGCACGTAGTCCCCAATTTGGAGCCAAGTCTTTCTCCCACTGGAGTCGCTATGTACATTCGTTTGAGGGACTTGCAGGGCCATTCTGACGCCAGATTGGGTTGATGTCAAGAATAAGTGTCAGAATCGTGATCAGGACCATCGATTACCCCTATAGGCAAACTTTCGGCCAAAAAATTTTTTTTGACTTTTTTTTTTGAGTTGTGATAGACCGACCATTTGGTCGTCGGTGATGACCGGAGACCCACAACTTTGGAGCTGCGATGACGTAGCGATGACGTGGTGGGCCGCCGGGCAGCCGCATCGCGGATTTGGTGCTCATAAGGTCCATTCATACTTGGCATGGGCATGGGTGGCCGCAGAACAAGTGAAAAACCATCCTGGACATTTGTCGACCCCCGCGACGGCTCGCTCAACGAAGATGTCGTCCTCCCCTACCAAGAGGAGAGACTCATCCGATTTCTTCATCAAATGCACCTGGAGGAATGATGACTATTTTGTTCTTTTTTTCGATGGCGTTTATGGTTGTTGCTAGTTTTTTGTTTCCGTACCACTGAATGAGGGTTTCGATAACCAGCAAAAGTACGACTTCAACAAAAGTGAGCATAACCCAATGCACAGACTCAAAAAAGTCAAAAAAATTTTTTGGCTGAAAGTTTGCCTATAGGGGTAATCGATGGTCCTGATCACGATTCTGACACTTATTCTTGACGTCAATCCAATCTGGCGTCAGAATGGCCCTGCAAATCCCTCAAACGAATGTACATAGCGACTCCAGTGGGAGAAAGACTTGGCTCCAAATTGGAGATAAATGGCACTAGAGCTGAAAGTAAATGCCATAGTCATGATCAGGGCATCGAATAACATAAGCTCAGCTTTCAGACAAGTTCTTGCTTAATGGTATGTGAAATCGAAATTGCTGAATAGCACCGACTACGGGCTATAACTATTTAGGATGTGCCTATAAATGGCAGATATCCGAGTAAAATTCATTAACAGACGTATATGGAAGCGACAACAACGGAAAATAAAAATGCAAAAACGTGCAAGCCGAGGGGAGTCGGAACCATGCATCCCATCCCCACTGGTCTGCTTGAGAATCCTCCACGCTATCCACTAGGCCATCCGGTCGTTGGCACAGGCACCTTTTCGATTGCTTATGAGCCCATTCGAATTGGCCGTCGACTCTTAACTACGTGCCACAAGTAAGACCCCATTGACGACCACTTTTCTCATAGATACCAGTACAACCTTTATAAGGACCCTATAGGCAGGCAATCTTTGGCGAAACTTGGCGAAGTGATTTAGAGCATATTCAGGCTCAATAACAGTCGGTTTCCATGGACTTTTTTTCACTCCATTTTTGGCAATCCCAGAGGCGTTCAGGAAAAATGAACACCAGTTTGGTACTCCATGCACGTGACCCCACATCATGCGAAAAACTCCTCTTTTTCAAAAAAGCGTCCAGCGTTCCTGAACGATCCTCCCTAGTAAGTCTGATCTGGTAGATATATATATTGTAATTATATTGTAGCGCCTGAAGACGGGCCTTAAGGCCGAAACGGGGGGGGGGGTGCCAAATAAATATCTTGAAGCAGTTTCATTCAACAAGAAACACAGAGATATAAAACCGACGTTCAGTTTGAAGGCACGCATGCCACACTTACAATCCTGAAGTGATTTCTAGTGTATGCTGACCGGTTTCACGTACTCCTAGAACTGAATTAGTAAAGGAATAGCATTCGCCAAAACGAAACTTTCTGCGTAGAGTCAAAAATTTGGGGTGTCACGATACGCTTTGTACGTACAACCTTATCAATGGAGAACCTTACAGCCACAACGGCCTGACTTCGCTGAAATATGGATTACTTTAGCGATTTGGGAATGAGCCAATGGATCTTATTCAAGTCATATATTGTGATCAGCTTCTTCACCTGATCAAGTCCTTCGAAGAGTCGGCAGCGCGTTTTCGTCCGACAGGTTTCCTTCTCTGGTTTCCACTCAGGGAACGAGTTCAAACCCCGTTCGAGCACTTGATGTAAGGATGTGTTGAGATGAAACGGCAACGGAGGGCTGGGAAAGGGGGGAAAGAGGAAGATGAGGGAGAGAGGAGTCTGCATATTCCACTCAATAAACGCCAAATAAGATAACTTTTATTAATTCTTTTCTAGAAACTCTTTGATGTTACTTGGCACGAGTTAAACAGATAACGAACCGTACTACCTGAACGAATGATCACTGAAGGAACGAAACGGCACGATGTATGACCCTGCATTGTAATTTTGTATATACAACGAACAAGCACTGACTAGGAATGATGAAGAGAGGGACATGGTCTTCAGGTCTCTCTACAGGGAATGAAAAATGTGACGTTTTTGTACAACAATATGATTAACCGTCTGGAAATGAGTGATGATTGAGGTAGAGTCCACGAATCCAAACAATTACTTGGGATATGCATGAATCAATAGGAGTTTTTACGTTCTGTTCGCAAGTTTTCTGTGGCCTCTCTGGATGATCGCATCAATTCACTTTCGCGACTAGTACGCGACACGCGACCCGGCACTGGAAGCGGAGTTCGTGACAGAGCTGAAATTCCCACGAAATATTGAACAAAGCAAGGGAATATGACATAAAAATCAGATAAAAATTGTTTTCAAAAAGGTTCGAGTAAGTTTGTATGAACTGAGCTTGTACAGTGTGGTAGATGAAAGCGTCTCATTACGCCTTCAAAGCGCTGTTTGGCGACGGGGGCATTTTGCACTTTTGCTACTTCCCATCGACGTGTCGACCCATCTAGACAGCCTCTTCTCGAGTTGACAGGTTTTACCATGATGGCTTGACGAGCTTGCTCCAGCTTCACAAGAGTTCACAGGTTTCACCAAGTCAGACCGGAACTAGTGAAGCAACGAAAGTGCAGAATGCCTCCCCCCCTTCGTCGCCAAACTGCGCCCGCCCACAAACCCCACAGGATTGAAACCCATCCAGAAAGGAAAAGGTTTTCCATCTCCTTAGGACTGCACTGTTGCACTAATTCTGGCGAAGGTAATGTAGTGGCAGGTTTCCCGCTTACCACACGCATGGTACTGGGGTCAAATTTCCTGTCGGCTCCCGCTCGGCTTAAGCAAGCCTTCAGCCTCCCGGCAGTAAATTTGTTCAGATTCGTATGGGAGGATTAGAACATTGGCTTGTACATGGGCTGGCCCACAAAAGTAATTGCATAGACCATACGCAATGAGCGTTCCCCATCTGCGGCGCTTACACCACTGGTTGTTTTCGTCCCAGATAGACCACGACGCTTTCACAATTGGTAGGGCAATGCAGCTGGAGGCGGGCCATCCCACTTTCCTCACGCCGCCCCAGACAGACTGGGATGTTACAAACTATACTTTATTGAAGTACACAGTTACGGACTCCCCATCTCTGGGATAATGGGGTGCAAATGACGAATGCACGGCGACCTCAGAAATCGAATGGTCTGTTAATGCTCAATTCCTTTTCTTTTGTTAGCTGTCCGAGGAAAAATATTTCCTTACCGGCTTGCCTCCGTTGACGATCGAGCCGATCCCTTTGTTTTGCGTCTACGTAGAGTTTTTCAAAATTTCGACGCCTTGTATATGTGACAGCTCCTGATCTGGAATTGTGGGATTGGTTAAACGCTTGCGAAGCATTAGATAAAAGTGGAAGGAACTAGTGCAATCTTCCAAATTGCCAAATATATCCCCCTGACACGCCCCAGCGTCTGCAGCGAAAGCGACTATATAAATGCACGACTTGTGGGTCGCATTTTGCTCAAAGTAAGCAGCTACTGCGCCTTTATTTCGGCTACGTGCTACTGTATTAACTTGACACAATTCTAAGCCAGACCTCAGCTCTTCTTCACTAGTAACCACGAGGCCAATATTGCGCTGAACGCCCCTTACAGTACTGAATGGTCTGGTAGAAAGCATGGCGTAGAATGTCCTATTTTCTGGGGTATGCGGCGCATTTACTTGCATGGTCGCGGTAATGCGCATGAAAAGTTTCTTGATACAACAACATCTTTCAGCCTTCTTGCATAATCTACCCCCCAATGGCCTTTAGAAAGACTTTTTATTCAAAATAAATCGCTAAAATAGATCTAATAAGGAGGAACCTAGAACAAACAAAAATGCGCAAAAGAAAATCCTGACAAATATTGGCAGGCTTCCAGACGAAGTAGCGCTCCGTACGCGGGTGCGCCTTATACCCCAGAAAATGGGAGTAATTCATTTGATTCTCATGGAGAACATACGTGTCGAACTTCGGGTTATTTTTGTAGTCGACGAACACCAGCACTGAACAGGTTCCGAGAATACCGACAAGAATTCCAACGACAATCAGTAATATGATTAGGTAGACCGGTAACGAATCTTCTATTGACACCGACGGATTGTTCTGGAAGGAAATCACTCATAAATAATTCGAAGGAAATCATTTTCCAGAGTTCGCTCGGAGCTCAAGAAATGCTGAACATTGAATGAGTGCTGACCTGCACGTGCTGGATGTTTTGCGGTAAAAGGTCCTGTAGATCATCTGTGAATATGGACCCATCGTCAGCGTCTACTCGTTTCAAGAAATAGTTGTTATTGAGGATATTTTCCTGAAATCAATAAGCAGAGGTTACTGTGTAAAGGAAACGGCAAGCTACTGGATGGGGAAACGGGTTCAGATTCTCAATATGAATACTTTTAATTAGAAAACAAGGTCATTTCATAGGGTCAGTGTTGAGCACTGGCTAACGGCGCAATAAAAGACTTTTACGGCTACGAAGTTCGATCTTCGCTAGGGACCACCAAGCTTGACAGTTTGCTCGGACTGCAAGCTCATATGTGAGGAAAAGGGCAAGCATTGGAATTAAATGGTCTACTACTGCACTCGCTTGACCTCGTTTTTATGCCTTTACGATTTTGAGTGGGAAGCAGGTATGTGGCGCATACTAAAGGGACCAGTAATCGCCCAAAGCCTAATATGAGTTTCATGTGAGATAGCTACATCATGGTTATTTGAGCCCGCGCAGCAAACAGAGTTCCAGACCAGCGTTCCATGGTCTACCGACTCTATATCAACGGCGCAGTCGTCTGTATGGGAATCCTAGCGAAGAGTCGGTGGAGAGAGGGGTAGTAGCTTCAAATGAGAGAATTTTCTCAGGTGTCTACTTTAAGATGTTTTCTCCCCTGGCGCAGCTTTCCCCGCCGCTTGACGCTTGTTTTCAGTTGCCTTCTTCGGGGAAAATTTAGAAGCGGTAGATAGGATAGCAAAGAGGGGTGCCCGCCAGAAGTTTTGAGGGGGTCGTATTTTGCGAGAATTTTCCCCAACGGCAGGACGTGCCCTGATCTTGATAGGTAACTGTTCGGTGTTCGCCCGTTGTGTCATCATATTATACATTATTGAGTGGTCGAAAGGACAAAGTCAGTACAACATCAGTGCGCACGAAACGGAAAAAATGAACAATCGTCCAGTCCAGTTATCGGGCCCACTAAAATGCAGTGTACTATGCACCGCATCCGATCCCTGTCAAATCGGTTTCTCATTTTTACCCTCCCACCTCGAACTTTGGTAATAGCGGCTATTACGACCATAACCTCCGAAACCAAGATTCGGTACTACCCAACTATTCGAAAATTATTCGGTGCCCTGACCACGGACATGACATTCATTTTTGGCCCTGGCGCAACTTGACGCCATCGGGCGCCAATAAAGCGCCACACCCTTCCCCACCAAAGTCGATAAAGACTTGCACAATAGTTGTTTGATGCCTTGGCCGCGAATATTGTATTCATTTTTCGTGTTAGCGCATTGCTAAGGCCGAGCTAGTGAGAAGGGGTAATTCCCTCCATGTTGGGCTCAGCCTTAGCAGAGCGCAGATGATCGTATTCTCCATTAGCGCAAGCATTACGAATAAATGTCATGTTCGTGATCAGAATTCCTAATAACCCCCATATACAAGTTTTCATTGGTTTTGGAAATCGAGGATATTCAGGCGCCGGATCGGATGTGATATTTATGCTTAGGAAGGCAAGCTACCCAAGGGGGCAAGTTTTCAGTGAATCCGGTGATTAGAGCATGTTGGCGCCGGCGACCAGCAGTTTTGAAGACACATTGTGCGCTCAACTACAAGGCGCGTCCTCGGGGCTAACGAGCCATCAGCTGTCGAAGCGTAGCGGTTTCCCCGTCCGAACATGCGCAGGAATGGGATCCAGGACCGTGGGACACGCTAATTCCTCCATGCTCCGCCTAAAATGCAACTTGCGGCGCAGACTCCCGATCCCGTTTATACTGACAGCCGTCCGCGCGGCGCGTGTCGCGCGCAGCGCTCCTGGCACTTTGCCAAGTCGTGTAATTGCGCTTTGGAATACAATTAAAACGCAAACTCCTGATGCGGATAACATTTGAGGTGTTGCTCATGCTGCAAAGTCCGAATAGAAGATGATGAAGATGACAAAGGCTAGAAACTGAAGAACAGCTGATGATGCTAGCCAACAGCTGTAAATAAAATGTAAATAAAAAACTCAAGGAAATGTAAACTAATTGAAATTCCGTGTAAATTCTTGCAATTCGGCGCGATTCCGGCTCCAAAGCCATAAAAATACTTTAAACTAACGAGTGGGACGCTTAGGCCGTTTTTATTTTCATGTTTTGTGGGAATGCGCGGCCTCTGAGGGATGGCTCTTGAGAGTTCTGCGCCTGTCATCATTGGGTGGGGCTCTTGTTGGGTACAGTCAGCCTCAGAATGTTATCGCGGGGTATCAGGATTGCGTGTTTAATTGTATTCCAAAGCGCAATTACAGCGACTCGGCAAAGTGACAGGAGCAGCCGTGCCCGCGGCGGCAGCAGGACAGCCGTCCGCGCGCGCGGACGGCTATCAGTACAAACGGGATCGGGAGTCTGCGCCGCAAGTTGCATTTTAGGCGGAGTATGGAGGAATTAGCGTGTCCCACGGTCCTGGATCCCATTTGCGCATGTTCGGACGGGGAAACCGCTACGCTTCGACAGCTGATGGCTCGTTAGCCCCGAGGACGCGCCTTGTAGTTGAGCGTACAATGTGTCTTTAAGCCAGGCGGATGCGATATTCGCATTCAGGAGAACTAGCCACCATTGGACACAAATTTTCACTCAAATATGTCGCTGTAGGAAAAAGTCGGTAAAAAACTGGCCTGATTTCGGAAGATTGGGGTAGTGCTAGTTGAATAGTGCCCAAGATTCCCTCTTACTCGCTCTTAGCTCCAGCTTAGCTCTTATCAACACCTTTTCAAAACTAGCCGGAATTCATTCAACTCATGTTCAGCTTCTTATAGGGACAGGAATCGTAAAAGACGACTTCACTAGGCGCTACGCTTTTGCGATCAAAGTTTGTCTGAGAGTATAATGAATCCTTGCGACATTGCTGCCTTTTTATACCCCAACAACCGAATGTCAGCTGTTGTTCTCGTTGACCGTCTCTCCTCGATTTTCCAGAGCCGTCGCAGCTTGCTATAAACCTGCATAAGCCCTACCAGGGGTTTTTACAATTCGCTGAAGTGGCGCAGTCTATTTGTAGGAACATGGTCGCAGTGACAAGCGATCGAACCGTGACGGCTTGCATGATTGGGACTGGATGCGGATGTTGTGGAATAGGCATCGACACTGGCAGTAAAAGAGGGGGTGCACGACGCGTTCCTACCACACATAGCAAGCGGTGCCTCGTGCGCGACATGCGCTGAGGCTGCGTTCACACTTTGCGGCAGCGTCCACCAGGTCCGCGGGTCCGGCAGTGTCAGCGATTAGGAAAGTATAGATATCAATCTACCAGCAACGTCTCGAGGGCTAGTTAAATATGGCTATCAATCTAGCGTCTATCACCGTCTGTCAGAGCCACTAGCGATCGGCAGCAAAATGCTGGTAGAGAATATGGTTACGATAGGAGTGTACCAGCTGTCTGCTACTCTCCTATCGCCCCATACTCTCCACTCCCAGACGCTGCTGGTCGCTAGTAGACGCTGGCAAACGCTAGATAGATTTTGTGCCTTCCTAGTCCCTGACGCCGCCACAAAGTATGAACACAACCCTACTGAATTAGCGTGAATAACGGTCCTGTTAAAACAATACCCTTCTGTCAGAGAAGCCCCACAATAGAAGTTCAGTTGTATCGTACTTACAGTCGTCATCCGGGCAGCGGCCAAAGGGTCGCGACGCGGCTGCGGTTCGTCACGACCGCGGCGATCAACTGTTTCCAGCCTGGTTTAGCCATTTTCTCCCTAATTTTCACTGTATTTTCTATTTTTTCAAGGTGAGTTGTGTTATTGCCTCTATGGAGTGTATTAGGAAGTGAATTCTATTTTTTCGTAGTGAAGTGTCTTTGCGATTTTTTAGGTATTGTTTAATTGTTTGTTTAATTGTTCATTGTTCGCAAAAATTAGAGAAATCTCAATCATAATTACCTTGTGAAGACAAGGAACAACTAACCTCAAGAAAAGCAGCCAAAACAGTGAAAATTAGGGAGAAAATGGCTAAACCAGGCTGGAAACAGCTGATCGCCGCGGTCGTGACGCGCCGCAGCCGCGTCGCGACCCTTTGACCGCGTAATCAACTGCCCGATGACGACTTTATGCTACACTATATAATGCTATAGAGTTATACTATGTATTCCTATACTATATACTGTTATGCTATATTATAGCTACTAAAAAACGACGGATTTGGTGGTCATCGGGGTCATATATGATGAGGCGAATATCTAAAAGAAGGCTACTTTTACTCGAGGATCCGCGTTGGCCGGCATACTTTCGATGACTTTCTCCGTTAGTTTAGGCGAATTTCCACGTGGTGCGAACACATTATTCCCGTATTTCTTCACTGGTTTCAGATTTCGACTGAGATCTTCCTCTTGTAGAGTGGACAGAGACACTTTGAACACTTGGAAGCATCCTGAAAAACTGCGATGATATATTATCAACGTGATCTTGGTAATAGCACTGTTTTCTTTAGAACTCTTGATTTGCTATAACTGACCATGAGTCATAAAATTTTTGGTGAATATCTCAGACACTCATGGTCATGCTCAGTTCAGCAGATCCTCTTATAGACGAGCAAAGTGCGCCAAAATTACGCAAGCAAAGTTGAAGCCTTTGATTTTCTCTGATATTGCAAGAAAAGCCAGGTAAGTGGTCATGAGGCAGTTGTATTATTTCTCTATTATAATAAGTTTGATTTATACTTTTCAGCGAGGTGGTGGTGGTGCTGTGGCATGTGGCACGCGCAGGGTCCGGGGTCAAATCCCAGCTGGGCTCCCGCCCTGGCCGACCAAGCTCCGGTCTCTCCAGGAACAGTAAACTGGTTCCAGATTGGTCTGGGAGCATCAGACTACCGACTTCTACATCGCCTGGCTACCGCAAGTCATTGCGCTGGGCACAGCTCGATAAGCCACTACGATTCTGAATGGAAGTAGAATGCGTGTCGCATCCCTAAAAGGGAGTGATCAACTGCGAAAGCTTTATCTTCTTTTTATCCTCAACCTTAATACTACCCAAGCGGTATCTGAAGGAAAGGTGAAAAGGTGGTGCTTTCTGGAGTGAATGAGATAAGAAGCGGATTACTGTTAATACCTTTGAGGGGTACGGTGTACGCTTACTTGCCTCTTGGACAGGTACGCATCGTTGTGTGAAAC